TGTTAGTACGTTGTTTAAACCTTTTGCCGCTGTGTTCCAAGCGTTTTGCTATACTTTTCTTAGTTTTTGTACTGTTTTTAGATAAAAAAAACATGGGTCCTAAGAAAGAGTTTGAGAATCATCATGATAAGGAACTGGTTAACCATGCTATCGATATTGTTGATGATAATTTAGTAAACCCTTTTAGAAAACTGTTAAGGAAACACCAACAGCAGACCACATTAGACAGATTTTTAAAAATTATTTTTTAGAGAAAGCCAGCCAGGTCCTAGTGAAAAAAGGCAAAGAAGGGAAAAAAAAAACTCCTGAAAAGCAACTATGAGTTGTTTTGATGGAAGGGGATTCCCTTTCCAAACAATGACTCTCTCTCCATACTTCCTCTCCACATCCCTGTCCACAGATCCAGATCCTTATCAATCTCAAGGTATGGACCATACTGTAGTTGTTAAAAACCTTTAAAATGTTGTGTTTTTTATTTAAATTATATTATTTAACTCTGAACTTATTTACTATGAAATTTCTGTGTTATGTTTTGTATAAAAAGGCAAGGTTAGGGTAAAATCTTGGTGGATGAGAACAGATTTATCCATTTTCAGTGATTTCTGATGGGAAAAATTGATTCAGAACTCGACTGCCTTGCATCTTCACGCATCTTCTAGAACAGATTAGCGTCAAGGTCCAGGGTTCTACTGCGTTTGAATTATGGTGCTGGCAAAGAACATAGACAGTGCCATGGTCTTCCAGAAGAACAAACAAATCTGCCTTTGAAGAAGTACAGCCAGAATGCTCCTCACAGGCAAGGATGGCAAGATTTTTGTCTTACCTACTTAGACTCAGTGTCAGTAGAGACTAGTCCTTGGAGAAGGTATCAGGCTAGGTAAAATGGAAGGCCTTCAATAAGATGGACTGACACAGTAGCTGCAACAATGGTCTCAAATATAAGAACAATTGTGAGGATAACTAACAACAGTAACAACATGAAAGAGGTCATAAAGGATGCTCACATACGCAAGACTCTTTTTGCCTGACCTGCTTACTTCCACTGCTGAGTGTCTGGAGAGCGCCCCACCTTTGGGAGTAGATTGCCCCCGGGCAGAGTAAATAGTCATCCCAGACGATCTCAGAGGTAGTGGTTTCCTAGTAGAAAGCCTGATTTTTATTAGCGGTTGATGAGTTACACTCCTCATTAGAAGCTAAGTGTGATCCAAATCACCGCCTAAGATCATGATGCACTGGGTCGATGACACACCATTTAGGGAGTCACCTAGCGGAATTATGCACTGAGTAAAGCTCAGCTTCCTGTGACCATCTTAAGTGCATTAAATGGTGCTAAAAAGGAGCCACAAGTGTTAAGGTTCAGCTTCTCCCATTTGCCTCTCTGACAAGGAGTTGGAAGGGAGTCACCACCCCTCCTAATTTTCCTCTCACAGCGTCTCCGACACTATTTATTAGAATCTGTCAGGAATCATTTCATTATTTCCATAGCTCCTGTTGATGTCAGTCACCTGAAAAGTCCCAGAATGTCAGACTCTCCTTCTTCCCTTTCTCCTATTTTCCATACATCTTGTTTCTATAGACCTGCTAGCCTCTGTTACCGAAAGTCACCACTTCTTCTCTGTGACTCAAACCCTCATCCGCAAATACTGCATATCCTCAGACTCACAAGCGGACAGTCTACTCACCATCACCCTCTCACAAAAACCTGGCTTTCCAC